CACCTATAGGATAGTTAGATTAAATTGTTAAAATCCACTTTCTTGCATCAACATTTGAGTTTGAAGTTAGATCCCATTTTAATTTAGCCTACTGCAGACTTTCAAATAAGAGAGGACAAAAATCTTTGAAATACATACACGTCCATCTCTGTGTAAAAATAAAAAGAGATCCTTAAGTGCAAGTAGAATAGATAAATACATAAGAAGTAGTAACAGACTGTCAATGCAAGAGAGATACATCAAACAAACAGGGAATCACAAAACTAAACAGGCACGCAACCACAAACCGAATCACAAAACTAAACAGGCACGCAACCACAAACCAGACATGATGGAGAACTGTCAGAAAAATAAACAAATCAAGAACATTATAGTACTGTTGACTTTTACTTACATATATCTTTAGCCCTGAAGAAGGGCTGTTTTGTGGAGAACTTAGTGGTCCTGAAAAGGACCGTCCTCTTTACTTGTAGCTTTATTTAGGTAAGGCAGATAATCCCCAAGAGCAAAAGGCAACATTCGACAGGAATGATGATGGCTATGAATCCCAGACACAGGGAAATAAAAGTTTTTGCAGAAAGAAGACATTGTTTTCACAACTAATAATATTGAAGTAAGCATGTGAAGAAGTTAATCTTAAGAAGCTCAATTGGATTATCTTTCCTCACTAGATAAAGCACAAGATGTCACCTGTCATCTGTTGCAAACATGTTGCTTATCAGCCTAATAGTTTTGAAGACAAATAATAGAGGAATAATTAATCAATAGTTAAAACTTGCATTATGAATTTTTAAGAGATACAAAATGAGGTCCAGTGTGTACAACACTGATGCAAGTCTGAATGAAATAGGAAAAGCAACAGACAAAATTATGACAACATATTTGAAACAATGACTGGTGTATAATTGAGTATATGGCATCTGGAAACATCAATAGATAAATGATTTACAGAAACCAATATCCAATTCAAGGAATTGTATTGATTAGAGTTGATCATTAACTTCAATAGAACTTGCAATTGTAAACCCTTACCAGACTTAGGGGCCCAAAATGACAGAGGCTTGCATTCAGATGTCTCATTACGGAGACAACTGTAATAAAAATCTCCTTTTCTACCCTCATCCTTAGGATTTTTAGCAATACAGCTGTAATACAAACAAATTAATTAGTGCAATTTTGTTTTAAACTCATTTCATATGTTTATGAGAAAAGAGATACATACAGTTTCAATAATTTTTTACACCCAAAACAGAAGTAAGGCACGCTCGGTTTTTTATTTGCCTTGGGGGGTTCTCCGTAATAGTCTTCATAGGAAAAGTCTGATTTTGTTTTTAAAAAATGTATACATATTTTTAAGGCTACCATCTCAGTAAACAGCAGTTCCATACCATGTAGTAAAAGCAAGGAGTGAATATTGATACCTACCACAGCAGTAATTGCAAATTTTTTTGTCATCGTCTATGTCTAGAGAACATGGCAAGACAGAGTGAACAGTGTTGAGGCATTTTTGGCACTTTGAAGCCTCTTTGGCCTCCTTGTTGCAGATACAGCATAAAGCATGAGACTCATCTGCAATCTGCGTAAAACTCCAAGTAGGTTTATCTGAAAGAGTAAAAACCAAGAAATAGTGGAAAATTAATCAAATTACTCACTCCAAAATTTTAGACGTCATTACATTTCCGGCTAGTTGTCTTGGGCCTACCCTTTGTCTTGGATTTATCAAGTGCAAAATTCTTTTGAGGAGGAGTTGGGTCAGGTTTAGAAGCTAGAAAAAAAACCCAGGCGAAGGATTAACAAACTATTAATAAAACAGCTCCTACAGTATCTGAAATATATTTCTCAATGTACCTGCACACAGAGTGCAAATGCACCCTTTGCCAAATCCCTCCCCTTGATCAGGATCCCTCACCGAGCAGGGCTCTATGGCATGGACCGTCTTACCACATTTGGTGCACTTGTGGCTCCCTGCCTCATTCCCACAAATTGCACAATACGAACCTGTGAGTAAACAAATCAGCAGTCATAAAACATGCTAGGTTATTTAAACCCTGCCTGAAACTAACACTGCTAAGCTTACACTGATCCGATAGATGGGGGGATGATTCAGGCCGGGGGTTCGGGTGGTCATCTGCATCTTTCACCCAATCAGCACCACGATCTGACTCCTGTTCAACCAGGTTCTCCTCCATTACGTCATCCATCAAATCAGCATCACGATCTGTCTCCTTTTCAAACATGGTCTCCTCCGTTCCGTCATCAATGTGATCAAAAACTGTGAGCGTTAAAGTTATTTTTGTAATGCAAGTCAATTGTTAAAATGACAAAATAACTCAATTTGTTTTATTCCTCTTAGAAATTGAAAAGAGTAAATGTTACCTGTACACAAGTCACACACATATTTCATCCCAGATGATTCATTTACATATGAACAAGGCTGATAGGCATGAACACTTTTGTTACACATGCCACACTTACTCAAAAAAAGGACTGGTTCATTACATACACAGCAAAGTTCAGCTCTATACCGAGATTTTTTGTGCAGTGTGCCTGAGAAAAAGTTAATATTTTAATAGTATCAAATTAAAACTAGTCTATTACCAATGCTTTAAAATTTTACATACTTGATTGTTTTGAACCATCATGGATTGTCTCACCCTTTCCCCTTGGTCTTCCAACTATTTTTATTTGAGGCAGGTTGAATGGAGCTAAAAAAGAACAATGTTGCGAATAAGTTTGAAAGTAGCCATATGCATTGAAGTATGGAAAACATCTCCATTTCAATAATACGACATTTCCTACCATTCCTATTAAGTTCGTCTCTTCCTGAATCTGAATTAGATTCGTAAATGCTAGTCTCGTCTTCCACATTCTCACTTTTGACTACTGTAGCATTTACATTCTCAAAATTATCGTCACTGTCCGAGTCAATTGTGATGATATCAGGGGATTTCTCTCCAGGATCTTCACTAGTAGAATTATCCTGCAAGTTTTTCTCTGCATTACCCTCTCCTGAAACACAGAGAAGAATAAATATACCTACAAACCACAACAAGTTCAAAAATACATTGTAACATGAATATACAGAAATGCATGTGCCTTACCTTCTTTCTTGTCATTTAAATGCACGAGTACCACTTCCCCTCCACCCGACCAGGCTTCAGTCAAGTCCAGCAGTAACTGCATTCTTATGTGATGCTCTCTTGTACCAACTTCAGTGAGTAGCGTTCTTAGTTTGTCCAAGACAAGTCTGCTCTCTTTGAATTTTTCACTAGGACCCATTATATTTTTCACAGGTTTAGCCGGCATCCTTGGAGGAATCCTATTGTCAGCTGGTTGCACCACATCTTCTTTCCACCAACCTGTGTTATACTCTATGAAGTATCTTTCTGGTATGAGGCTTTTGTCATACCAATTGAGTCCTGAGATAAGGATTAGATTAGATTTAGATTAGATTTGATTTACTTAATAACATTATTTGCAGTTGCGTGACAAGGAATTGACTTACCAGCTTGCTTCCTGACACGCATAATGTGTCTGCATGTCAATTTGAGGGTTTTGTAGAATTGACATGAACAGTCCTTGTCTGATGTAAGATATTTAGCAGATGCAGGTGAAGGCTTTTTGGCTAGTTGGAACTGCTCACAAACAAGTTTAGCAGCATATAAAGTAATATCATTACATACTGTTTGCACAATCTCATCTGAGCAATTGTTTATTTTCACTCTTTTAGTCAAAGCTTCATGGTCTTTGTAACGCAAAGCATCCTTTCTATAACCCTGAATCATGTTTACAAGAATGTCGACAGCTTCATATAGAGGTGTATCTACAGTCAAGGCCTGCATAGGGAAAAAACAAAGACACAGAAACATCAGCTTACGGAACAGGAACAATGGTACTGACACAACAGAAAGAATTTAGACCAACCATCTTCAACTTTTGGTTTTCATTTTCTACACGGTTTGTGGTGTGATTCCGGAAAGTTTCAACCAACATTCTATCTTTAAGACACCATGCCTCTTTCAGATTTAGCCAATTGTCTCTGAAGTAGTTCTTGAGTGTTTCACCTGCATGACGACGAAATTTTTTGTAAGCTTCTTGGAAGCTTTCCTCAGTTTCTGAATACAGCATCTCTCTGAAATGATCCATTGCAATTTTCTTATTAGGATCGCCTTTGGCAGCTGTCTTTAGGTTTCGCTCAGCATGCACACTGCAAATATGCACTTTTGCATTTGGGAAAATGGCTCTTATAGCACCGATCTCTGAGTAGTCCTTATCTACGACAACACAGTTGGTTTTTTCAAAAACTTCATCGCCTCCACTTACTCTGTGGAAGTGGAGCAACATATCGGTCAAAGTGGCCTTTAGCTCATTGGCCAAAATGGCATAAGCCACAACCTGGCTCACACCAGCTCCATCAACAACTTGAACCACACTGACCGGCATTAAATTCTTATTGATTTTGTATGTAATATCTGTCAGCAGGACTTCTGGAAACTTTTTCAGAGCATTTCTCATGGATGTAGTTTGTACAAGGATAAACTTCACTTTCCTCGAATCTTTACAAATCTCGATGTGAGCACAAGCTCCAGGATCATTATTGATGATCTCAGTCAGTTTATCTATGAGCATTTGCTCTTCAGACCTACCTCCCCTTTCTTTACGATCATGTTTAGCACTGCAAAAGAATGATGAGAAATTCAAGTCATAAATAGTGATTACATAGTGATAAATAAACTGATTTCAGAAAGGTACTTACCGTGCATTGTGGATATCTCGGCTCAGAATAATTTTTGCACTCCCTTCAGTTTCTTTTAGCAAGGGTTTCATTAGAAGGGGTTTAGCTTTCAGCCTTGAAAACTTTTTGATATCTTGACAAGACTTTTCACTGAGTCTTCTTATCTCAGGGTATCCATTATAAGTTTCCTCAGTACATGGATGATTATGATTCGGTTGAAACTCATTCACAGTGAATCCTCAGTACATGGATGATTATGATTCGGTTGAAACTCATTCACAGTGAATGCCCCATCTACACGAGACAAGTAAAGGAGCGATGTACATCCAATTTTGTATGACCTAGAATCAAACAACATGTCAAGTTGAAAGCACACAAAGATTTGAAAAATTTGAAAGAAAAACTTTGACCACGAAATGAGCCAATAAATAAGAAATACACCAACCTTTGAACAGGTCGGGAACCAATCAAATTAGGATTGTCTCTTGGGTCTCCGTAATGTTTGCAATGTAGTTTTAACAACTTATAGTCCAAAACACCTTTTTCTTGTTCAGATTCGATCTTATCACTTTTGAATGTTGTAAAAAGGCACAGATGTTTCGCCTGATACTCAAGCAGCCTCTTCTCAAATTCAGCATAATTCTTAAAAGTTTGGTTGACATAAAAGTCTTCTCGTGCATGCTACATAGAGGAATGAGTAATGTATTAGATTATGAATGCAATAGCTTAAATTCAGAGGCACACTTTACATATTAACATGGCCTAGAAGACAACTCCTTTACATCTAACCTAAATACTAGGTTAGAAACACGGCAGTTTTCTGTACTTCTTACCTCCATAGTCGAATGCAGATCGGAGACCGAAACGTTGCTTAGAGATCCTTCATTAATTATTATTGATTTTTAAAGCAACAATTTAATGAAGAGATTAAAAGCGACGCACAAAGTGTCGGGCGCCGGGCGCTCACACTAACGGCTAAGCAGTTCGCGGTACGCGGTGGCGGGATTCTCCCAAAACGGACGTTGCCAACCCTCAAAACAGGTTGGGTAGTGTAGTTCTTTGTTGTTCTCTTAGTAAAACTATAGTTTATGTTTCGATGTAAGTCATGTTATCCGTTGTAACAATGTAAACACTATGGATATGATCAAACTGTCATTTTTAGCATACGAAAAACGGTGAAATCCGAAGGGGACAGTAACAGACATGCTAAAATCATAGTCCATTCTTTTGCCAAATCCCACAACAATTCTATTAGCACACAGCATTTGAATGTAAAATAAGGAATTTTGTTGAAAGATCTTAACGAACACTAGATTTATGATGTAGCAGACATGAATTACCGGCCGGCAGCGGTGGTGCGAATAGATACAAAATCCTGGCCCTTTATTGGTACCAACAGCTGCTTCTAGTGGTGCGAATAGTCCCTTAAGGAGTTATTGGAACCAGGGGTGCGAGTATCATTGTCATTGCTATTCGCACCAGGCAAAGAGGGGAAAGGTGCGAATATGTGCACCAATCTACTTCGCACCACTTTGGGGTGCGAGCAGGGTGCGAGTAGTTTGTAACACTTAATTCGCACCGTCTGGTGCAAATAAATATTACCTATCACTATACATAGGTCTGGTACATTGATGAAGCTAGAACTAGAATGAATACAAAGCGGGAGTAGAATGAAAATGGGGTGGGGTGATTACAAAAGTCTCCGCTAGGAGCGCTGATGATATATGAACAAAGAACAAGTGAAGAACGATGATGTCATGTATAAATTTGTATCTTGTAATATTATGGTCGTTACTCTGAACGGCTGGAGCCCGTGGGCCGGTGGAGCGACTAAGTAGAGTGTCTGAAGGCGGATAGGAGAGGAGCCCGAAAGAACAGGACAGCTGGTTTGCCAGTAACAGAAGAGCCTTTATTCAAGCTTGTGTCAGGTTTATATAGACGATAACGATTGAACGACAGAGTCGTGCCAACATATATGATATGATTACCCATTTTTAGAGATTGGCAAAGGAATGAACAAATAAACTTAGAACTAAACAGGGTATAGAAAAAATAAAAAAATGCACAAAAATAAGTTACATACAATTACAATAGAATGGATTTAAAAATTAAATTCAAACAAGATTGTGACGGAGTCACACACTGCCCTGAACAAACGGAAAGAAATCAACGCACCAGGAAGAAGCTGTCAACACAGAACGCAACCCAGAACGGATATAAATATACCAAATAGGAATACACAAAATAGATATACAAGACAATATGTAGGGCAAAAACTTAATGCTAATACAGGAAATCAATAATGTTACACAGAGACAAATAAAGAAAGCACACACACACAAGGGATGTACATATTAGCACACATGAAAACGCACACATACATAAAAACACTCACATTCACACAAGAATGAGGGTGTACATGGAGGCTGGATGAGGGTGTTGCGGTGTGAGTAACTACAACACATGCTGTCTATAAGGTGTCGTAGCCCGACAACCACCCAGGTAGACGGTGGTTGCGCGGCGGCTGTTGACGTCGTGGTGGTGGTGGGGGACGCTGGCGTCGTTGGGGTTCACCGCGACTTCAGGCGGGCGATCTTGATGGGGCTGATGTTCGTCCGGCTGGCGCTTGTTCCGGGGAGGCTCTATGTCGTCGCCGAAGACGGTCCAGTCCCGGTCGGGCGGTGGCCGGGGTGGCGGGTCAGGAGCTTGTCGTCTCTCCGGTTCCGGGCGCACAGCGGGAGGTGGCGCGGGGTGCATCTGAAGGACGTTCCTGACGTGCTCCGCGTGGCCATCGTCGTGGATGTGGAACATCCTGTTGCCCACGGCTGCGATGATACGGCCGGGCGAGTACTTGAGCTTGCCAGGGCGGAAGTCGCGGAGGCTGACGTGCTTACCCGGGCTGTAGGTGGGCTGGTCGCCGAGTTGCGGAGAGGGGTGGGGCTCGGCGGGCTTGATGACGTCCCATGCTGTCCTCAGCGGGCGGTTGAAGACGCGTACGTACGCGCTGCAGGCGGCTGCCCGGTTGAGGATGATGGGGTGATGCGCATGGCGAACAGAGCGCGCGCAGTGCGTGCATGCCAGTCGCCCTCGTGGAACTTCTTGAAGGTGCCGACGGTGCGCTCAGCAAGCCCGTTGCTTTGAGGGAAGAAGGGCGCGGAGGTGAGGCGGCGGCAGCCGTTGTGGTGCAAGAAGTGTTCGAAGTTGGCGCTGACCAGCGGGCGTCCGTTGTCGGACACGAACAACTGCGGCACTCCGTGGGTGGCGAAGGCGATGCGGGTTCTCGCTTGATGAGCTCGGCCCGCTCGGCCGCGGTGAGGCTTGCGACCGAGAAGACCTCGGATAACTCGGGTTTTTGGATGCAATTCATAAACATAAATTGTTCGGTTTGATCACTGAGTTTAATGGATTGAACAGGACAACGCTATACAAAGGTCTGGTACACTGATGAAGCTAGAACTGGAATGAATACAAAGCGGAAGTAGAATGTGAATGGGGTGGGGTGATTACAAAAGTCTCCGCTAGGAGCGCTGATGATATATGGACATAGAACAAGTGAAGAACGATGTCATGTATATGACACAGAAATATTTATTTATTCACATAAAAATTAGTTCCTTGACAATAGAAATATGGCTCGATCCTATGTATAGAGGTAATGAGGTTTTCCAGCGGTTAGAAGAATAAGAAGAAGTTCCAATATGGCCGCCGCGGAACATAACAAACCATCAACTGTTTTCTCGAAGCGGGTGCTAGCAGCCGCTCGCACTCATGAAAGTTTGTTATGTTCCGCGGCGGCCATCTTGGAACTTCTTGTTCTTCTAACCGCTGGAATACCTCATTCTATATGAAACTCCTGGCACCAAGATTTGTTGCGTAAGTAATGAGCTAATGGCATGCCCGTTACTATAGCTTTGGAGGTTAGGGGTCCTTCTGACTGGGTGTAGCCGAAAGCAGCACTAACACTTTCTTCATTAAAGCCATTGTCATTATCAGAGACAACTTCATGGTTTTGAGCACCATCACGTTCTTCGTTAAAAAGTGATGTTGATTTCACAAAGTGAACTGATCCATCTTTCGGCTAAGAACCCGCTACTGAGTAAGACCCGAACAGTTATTTAATAAATAAAAAGAGAAGAAAGAAACAGCAATTGTAAGTTAAACTAGCTCAGTGTGCGTTGAACAATCAAAGAGACATAAATTTGACCCCCAAAAAAGCTTCTACTTCGGCTATATTTTGACGTTTATCAGTCAAGTCGGGTTCCATTTGGTTGGTATCACAGACTAGGAAATACAACACACCTGCAGCATCCCACATCGCTATGCGGAGTAAGTCACCACCGGGTTGGAAGCACAGGTTACTGTTCGACGGCAATGGGAAATCTTACAACTACTGATAAAATACTGTTTTTCACATACCATCAAATAACCACAGCGACAGGAACTAACGCCTCTTTAAACGCGTATTCTCAGTCATGGCAGCAGCTACATTCAAGTATGACCGGGGGAAGCAACCACCGGCCACATCGACTCCAATTACTTGCCATAGCGCTCGCGCTCTCCTGGCGGTACCATTTGGGCTTCTTTTTAAAAAGTAGACTCATCACCTCTCGTAGTAATAATTTTTATCATCAATAGCTTTTGGTTCGGTAATACAAAAAACGTTAACAATTCTTTTTAACTGTGAAACGAACCCATGGTTGGGGAAATTTAGTCGCTTAAGGTGATTTAGGAACTTTAAAGGCACGCAAAGCATCCTTTAAATTGTTGACGTGTCTTTTTGCATCTTATTTTATAACTGCACACAATTTTTTGCGTGGGCGGCGCGTAATCTAAAGACACCTAGTTTTCCGCATGATTCTCACACCAGGCCTGATTTTCGCTCCTTGCGTGATGAAATTCGATTCCTGATTGGCTGCGTGAAGCTTACGAAGCGTGAAAATCACGCCTAGCGTGAAAATCCACACCTAATTTTACACTATTTTTCACGGGGGCGGCACGGGCGCGTGGAGCGGACTACCGAGAGCAAGGTGTTCATTGTTGGGCTATTACTCGTAGACGCGGCTCAAAATGCAACAGGTGGTGATGAAAGATCTCCCCCCCCCCCCTTGCGCCGCGGTGTCAGGTAGAAACGGTTTCGTTTAAAAACTGGCCTGCCGGCCGGTAACGAGACAGTCCAGCTCGAAAAGCAAATTCAAAATACACAGGCGCTACCAGTGCGCAAAGGCCTGTGG